GATTTTTATATGATACCACATATAGTTTTGATTTACATAGTACACCGAACACCCCAATGTAGCATGATTGCTAAAAAAAAAAAAAAAAAAAAATTTTAATCTACCAGGTGTTTGTTAAGTCTCTAGACAAGACCTTTTTTTATCTCTACTCATATTAGTTTTTTTTATTTTATACCTGTATTTAGTGATTTATTTGCTTAATTACTTGATGCTCAATAAAAAGATCCAGTTTATAAACTAATAAAACACCCACTATATTTATATAAATTACACATAACTTGCAATTTCTTAGTCATTTAAAACTCTCAGCTCTTTATGATAAAACCCTTGTTAACCAATTAATAATTGTTTTATTATTAACTAACAACTCAGTAGTCCCATCACCAGGGCTTCAGACACCATAGTAATATGCCGGCCATTTACTGCGCCGATACCAATTGTTTGAAGTGTCGTTTTTGATCCATCAAATTAGAGTCTATCATAATTTATTATAAATTAATCTATTAATCGAATACTTATATACAGTATATTTTAAACAATTATATACATGAATTGTTATTCTGGCCAATTAAATTCTAGATCAGGAACGACAATTTTTAAATGGCCGGCATATTACTATAGTGTCTAAAGCCCTGCCCATCACTAAGTACACCGACATAAAATCATTCATCGTGATTTTCACAGTGGCAATATTCTTATTGATCGGGATAGTGTACCAACAATTGCAGATTTAGGAATAAGTAAACCAATAAATGAATTATCAGATAAGAATGCAATCTATGGAATTTTTCCGTATGTTGCTACAGAGGTGTTAAAAGGAGGAAAGTTTTCACAAGCTTCAGACATTTATAGTTTTGGTATGATTATTTGGGAGCAGGGCTATATTAGTTTGCCGGCCATTCGAAAGTACCATTCTTGATCTATAATAGATTTGATAGTAATTGGCCGGTATAGTAAACAATAAGATGTACAATATACTAATTTCGATGAATCAAAAAGAACACTTTAAACAATAGCAATGGCGCAGTAAATGGCCGGTAAAATTAATATAGTGGGTTAAGCCCTGTTTGGGAGATAATAAGTGGTTGCAGGCCATTTTCTGATCATAAACATGATGAATATCTTATTCTGGATATTCTTAATAGTCTTAATCCAAAAATTCCAATTAATGTTTTACAAGACTTAATTGAATTAATAGAAAAATGCTGGCATCAAGATCCAGAAAAAAGAAAATTTATAACCCTAGAAAAAGGATTATTTGAAGATCTTCCAGATTGTTCGCAACTTATGTGGAAGCACCGACGACGATGACTGAGACAACAGAAACAAAAAAGACGGAAAGTAGAACAGAATAATGGTGGTGGTCTGGAAAATAAGCTTAATGAACTTATTAGAAAAGCAGAAAGAGGGGAAATAAAATTTCCGGAAAATATAAATGCAAGTATTTTACCAACTAAAATAAATGATCAAACAATTTATTCTAGTCGCTCATTAACAGAGTTAATTAGTAAAGCATTGACTTTACAAAGTATGAAGTTAACAATCACAGGTAAGAGAATATATTGTATTGAGATGTTCTTATTTTAGGCATAAACTAATATTAAATAATCAATTGTATTAGATATTCGAATGATAACGCAACAACTAAACTATAATCAAACAGACGAGGATTCTAAAGCGATTGAATTTGATATAAACAACTTTAGATAGAATTTTGACCCTATTAATAATAAAAAAGTTTTTAGCAAGCAATCCTATTTCTTAAATTTGTATAATTTCATTCAAACTTTTGAATTTAGCTCTTTAAAGTTCAAAACTTTTGAATCTACTGAATACAGTAATTAATCAAATTTGTAAATCTATCACTGATATCTCGTGATCTAGTGATTGAATTTTGATGATTTTTAGTATCATTCGAATCATCTCATCAAGACAATTCGAATGATCAAAATTCAATCACTAGATCACAAGATGTCAATAATAGATCAAAATCGAATTTTATTCTTTATTACAGTATTAGTGTTAAAACACGATTAGTACATTAAAGTATCGAAGTACTTACTTTCGTTAATGTTTAGACTATTCGTTTTGCTATTTTTAAATTTTTTGTATATAAAAGTAATAAAAAACAATGACAATATTTTGAATAGACTTTTACTAAACACCTATGGTGTTTTACAAAAACTAGTAATTAGTCGGTGTGAGATATTCTAAATAAAAATGTTCTACGCCCTTCCCAAACACTAACTCTGACTCTAAACATTAACCCGAATTTAAAAAATTTGGGTTAAAAATTTTATATACAAAACTTAGAGAATTTTAAAAAATATTAAAAAAATACAGTATACTACACCATAGATGGGTTTTATAATAATTCTTTTGGCTGCGGCATGACCCAGTTTACCAATTAGAGACGAAATTCGGAATCTCATTTGTCAGCGAAAATAGAACACTTACACGTGATCTGTGATACAGTTATTATCATTTATATAAACACGACAACACGCGTTTATAGTATTAGCGAATTTTCTTACAAATAAACTTTTTTGTATTTTTTTTTTTGCGCAACGATCGAAAATTCAAAATGGCCGAAGAATATAAAGATGATGTAGCTGATGATGTAGCCAGTGATGTAGCTGATAACGAAGAAGGGGAATTGGGATACACACCAGTTACAAAGCTTAAAGTTTGTTAATATATATTTTTTCGCGTTTGATTATAGTTCATAGTCGAAGATTGTAAAAGTTTGTATAATACGTATATTAACGACCCTTTAGGAATACGGCATAAATGAATCGGACGTTAAAAAGCTTGCAGACAACGGTTATGCTACTGTCGAAGCTGTAGCCTTTTCACCCAGAAAAGCCCTACTGGCTATAAAAGGAATTTCTGAAGTAAAAGTTGATAAAATTTTATCTGAAGGTAATCATTGTTTTTATTAATTAATTAAACTTTTATTGTTTATTTATTACTAAATGTCAATTGTTATTTTCACTTTAAAAGCTATTAAGTTGTCACCTAGAATGGGATTCGAATCAGCCACTTTAGTTCAAAAAAGAAGGGAAAATTACTTTTATATATCAACCGGCTCAAAGGCATTAGATAACCTTCTTGGAGGTGACATAAAAGATTAATATTATAATTAATGGAAAAAATTTTATTTTTTATTTTTTTTAACTGAATTTATTTTAATCTTATAGGTGGAATTGAATGCGGATCTATTACCGAAATTTTTGGTGAATTTAGAACAGGAAAAAGTCAACTTTGTCATACACTTGCTGTTACGTGTCAGGTAGTAATAACTGATAATATAAATTTTTTTCGGATTTTTATATACGTAAAATAAGTTTAATAATTTTACTTTATTAAAATTCTATTAAAGCTTGGACTTCAAAATGGCGGTGGTGAAGGAATGTGTATTTATATTGATACCGAAGGCACGTTCCGTCCTGAAAGAATAGTGGCAATTACAGAACGTTACAGTATGGGAGATCAAGGAGTTTTGGATAATATAGCTGTTGCGCGGGCTTACAATACAGATCACCAAATGAGTTTGTTGGTTCAAGCAGCCGCAATGATGACTGAAGCGAGGTTTGCACTTCTAATAGTTGATAGTGTAACAGCTTTATACAGAACCGATTATTCTGGTCGAGGTGAACTTGCAGCACGCCAAATGCATTTGGCAAAATTTTTGCGCGCCCTACTTCGTTTAGCTGATGAAGTAAGTATTTTATATATACTTAATATATAGTACATAAAAAATTATTTTTTTTTTAGTACATTTTTTATAATCTAAATAAATGCTTTTAAAGTTTGGAGTCGCGGTAGTTATTACAAATCAAGTCGTATCATCAGTCGATGGAAATATGTTATTCCCCGGTGCAACAGATAAAAAGCCTATCGGTGGAAATATTATTGCTCACGCGTCGACGACAAGGTACAGTAACTAAAATAAACAAATTAATGTTAGAAATTATTATATAAATTTAGAATAGTATTAAGTTAATTAAATTTTAGGCTGTCTTTACGTAAAGGCAAGGGTGAAGGACGATTATGTAAAATTTACGACTCTCCATGTCTTCCAGAGTCAGAAGCGCATTTTAGAATCGGACCAGGTGGGATCGAAGACGTAATTGATTAAAATATTAACTAGATTGCGACCCAAACATTTTTTTTTAAAATTATGACATTGCTACTTAGTTTGGGGTTGGGAATCAGTATTTCTACTTTTGGGTTCATGATCAAAACCTAAATATATGTTCCATTTCGGTAAAAATTGTCAAACTCAAAATTAAATAAATAAATCTGCATGCATTTAATAATTAAGATTAAAACTTTTTGTTCAAGAAATTTAAAAATTTTAATCAAATATATCGATATCCAGGTTCAAAAGATCGTTAAAGATTGGGTCGGTTATCAGATTATCAGATAATACTACGATAAAAAATTCTACGCCAAATTTTGTTTAAAATGCATGTTGACAAGGGTCAACGGATCGAAAAGAAAGGGTAGAACTGGCCAGGGGTTACATGCCACGTGCTACAA